TAAACCCCACATATCAATCAATCTTCGTCTCCTATCAGGCACATGCTCACTCAAGGGCAGCGTGCATAAGTCGCACAGCAGCTCTGTTCTGCTCTCATAAGAGTTGGTCCACAGTTTCCCTATCACAGCCTCCGAGTTCCTCAAAGGAGATGAACAAGCAGGCAAAGATATAAGGCCTATTGCGACTGTGGTAATGTCACAAACTACCGAGACTTTACCAGTCACAGGGGCGTTGGAATCAGCGCAGCAAAAGACCGTTTTCATCGCCCGAACATTGTCACTAACCATCACCCCCGTCTTTCATTCGGGCATTCTGCTCATTCGAATGCGGTAGTCATAGTCGAGTGGCACCAACTTCCCCGGTACACCACATCAATTTTATCCAATACAGGAGCGGCGCTGTACATACAACTATTGCGCGAAGGTACCTCAAGCTGATGTTGCCGACGCGTTCACAAATATGACATTAGCAAACTCGCTTTATTCGTGTGGTTAGGCGTACGTTAAAGTACCCCAGGAAAACTAAATCTCCGAATTCCTCCACTATACAGCCGCTTTCTTTTTCATATGCTGGTTTTGGAATGTTAAACACCATTGATTATGGTTCTTTGTTCACGCAGTATAGCTCTGCAGTTGCTGACTTTCGTAAAAAATTCTAGCTCTATGACACTTACGTTTTATCAGTGAATGAAGTAATGACGTCAGCGAAGCCCGCATTTGCTGCCATGCGGTAAACATTTGCGAGCACAAAGGAAAGTCAAACATACAATATCTTCTGTGCGCGCGTGCAAGCAGACGCAGATGTTTCTTATATTCCCAAACAAGTGATCTCTTAAATCTTTCAGGGACAATAGGTTATTGGTCCGTGTGCACGCCCGTAGTGCAAAACACCTGCTGCAGTTTTCTCTGCAAGTTCAGGATGGCTTTTTTTAGTTATGATGACAACATATCTTAGATCTAATTGAACTACTTTAGTTTTAATACTTGGAACTCTGCAACAGACTTGAAGATAATAGATGACGTATATACTCCAAAGGGAATCGTATTTGGGCACCCCTAATACCGAGCAGCAAATCATGCGTGAGAAATACGCCGGAAATGCGTAATCTATGTACAAAAAAGGTATTGAATTCATTTAGATAAATACCATAAAGGTGACAAAAGAACTACTTCGTGAAATTCAAATTAGCATCACTACAAAGTGTATGCTTAAGAAAATTAGGCTGTAAGCATTCCTCAAGCTTTCTTAAAAGTAAAACTTTAAGCGTAATATACTATCTGGAAGAACCACGTTAGATGTATACCAATATAGAGACTCCTCCAAGAGTCTATAACTAGTGTGCTTCAAAAAATATGAAAAAAAAACAGGCGGAATTGTATGCTAAAGCCTCAAATGTCAGAAACACTTTGAAGACAGGTATCACCGAAACCAGTGTTTAGAACCAGTTGCTGCAAACAATAAGCGGCTTATATCGTGTACTGCTCAACGCGAACGCCAAGCGAAACGACAGATAGTCCATGGCAAAGCGCTTCTATTCCTCTGACAGTAGCGTGACACAAATTTCTGTGGACATCACTTGATTCATTTCAGCAATAGTTTTTTCTGCTGTGTGAACAAGAGAAGTAGGGAACCCTAAAGCTTCGGGTTTTGGAGTTGAACGCAATAGCGACATTCTGTTCCTAGTGAGTATTTTGAACACTTAGTGCATAAAACCTCTTATAATTTGCATTGCACCCACTGTATGTGGCCTTACGGGAATGGGCGCAGTAGCGTGTGTGCCTTTTGTAGTGTGGTACCAGCTTTTAACCGTGGAGCCATTAAAATAACACATATTCTAACGCATGTCGGCAATGGACACTTGTACTACGCATTATTACGGCAATATTTCATGTATTCTGGAGCATGTGTACAAGAGGAGTGTGTTCGTGAAGCATGAAAGCTACGTTCACTGTATTTCCAAACACGAATTTTTTTTCGCTATTTTGACAAGCAGTGCCATTGCTGGTGGTAGAGCTTCCGCTTGCCACGCAAAAGGCTTGGGTTTAATCGCCACTCAGACCCAATGAACTCTGGTTCAGTCACCACCCCGCTCTTGGGTTTTTTAGCTTTATGTTATTTGCATAAGACGATTTTTCACTCACAACCAACGATGTCTATGCTGGCCCCAGAATTTCTGTAAAACCAGCTCTTTAACGTTTTTCGAATTCTTAACACCTCAAACAAGTGCTTCGAGGTCGCGTCACTCGCCACACTTTTCGCAAATTTTATTCAGGCAATCACTGTAGTTCTGTTTTTATGAATTGCTTTGACTTGTCTATTTGCCCCTCAATACAGGATTGTCGTGAAGGCTGAAAGAAAAAGTGACGTCATGAAAATGAGTCACCTGAGTACACTTGCTGCACCAATTATTCAATCAATCACGCAGAATTCGCCCACGAGTAGAGTAAATAATACGCAGGTGCACCCATAATAGGAAAACAGTTGATAAGACAGATGCTTGGGCTAGTTGGTGATTGGGAATCAACATATTTGCACAGCGCAAGACTTCGAGCGCTCTTTCTGTCCTTGTTCTTTCTTCTGTAGTTACGTCGTAACTACTCGAATAACGCGTTCGATGCTCTAACTACTGAGCTACCACAGTGGCCTACGTCGTAACTACTCGTTGTCTTGCGCTGTGCAAATATGAAAAACAGCGCTATAACACAGTGGTATTGGTATATAAAGAGTGGGAAAATTGTGGAACACAAAATATAACTAATATAAACCTCAAGTGGATAGAACACCAACCGTTCTAATCGCAGGAGTGTTGAACATTTTTTTATCGATTGCTTGCAGAATATTACCTGCGAAGGGGTAGTAATATTGTACAATATTAACTGATGGTTATTCAGTGACCAGTGAACAAAAGCTTTCCCGCGAAAACCCGAACTACGTCGCCTAGCCTTTGAATTACTCTGTAGTTTTTAAAGTGATTCCTTTCAACATCTCATGAAGGCATATATGATGCAACATAAACGCGCTACATTGCAGCTCATGTTTTATCACTCGTCGCGGCAAGACATTGTCCCATTCATGCCCATAAACTTTCCGCCTAATTATCGCAATATCAAGCACGTCTTTTTATGATAGTAAATATTACCAAACAAAAAATTGTTAGGACCAAGAAAGAAAGGAATGTGACACACGTTTTCTTAATCGGCCAAAGTTTTCATGCTTGAAGATAGTTTTAAATACTTCCATCGAGACCTATGCTGCACTTTCATAATGTAAATCTGTAGTCATGTGGATATTGTGTGTGGTTCGACCAATTATGTGTATTAGCTTCTATTTCATCGTTGACTTGTGACAATGGATCAGAGGAGTTACTGCAATCGTTTACCAGTCCCTTTCAAAAATGCTCATACCATTCATTCCCCAGGTAATCTATTCTAGGCATTTCTGTGAAGAATGGTTAGAGTGCAAGAAAATGCGTTTGCACTCATCACACGCTTGAGGCTAAAGTTTCATCAGCACATATTATCTGCAGTCCAAACATGCTACCTGCACCACAAACAAAAAAGGGAGCATAAGTAATTCCGTAAGTCATAAGTAGGTGAAAATAATGCCCAGCGAGAAACTGACTAAATCAATGCTGGACTATACACCTTTGAATATCGGAGCAGCTACAAATCAGTTTGCACACTGCATGTAAGTTCCTCAGCCGTAAAATGTCCGACAACCAGCCCAAATGTCAGCACAGCTGATTGAAAACACAAACTTGTTCATTTATTGTGCTGAACTGCTAACAGCTTTTATTTCATTCTTTGTATCTTTGATTTTAGTTATTTCTTTAGTAGATGAAAACTTTTTCAAGAGACACAACTAGAGGCATACATTTGCCTAACGCCGTCTTGCTTCCCGTACGCTAACAGCACCAGTAAAAAATAGGAAATCTATCAAAGATGACGCGCAAGTTGTTGAAGCTGTGCATGACTTTAAGAGAGAAGTGCAGTTAACTGTTAATTTGCTTTAGCTCAACAAAACATTACGGCACATTCGCAGTTGTGGCGCGAAGCTTGAAGGGAGAACACAGCTGGGCAGCTTTACTTGATGTTTATTTTGAGTATTTCTTTCTGTCCTCTTTTTCTCTTTCTTGTATTTCTCTGTGTTTTTTGTAATTTTAGGCATCTGTTTTTTTCTATTTATTTGTTCCTCACTATGTCTTGTTAGCTCACTTTCCGGCTTTGGCGGTTGCATTTTTGATGCAAGAAGAAATGATATAGGCCAATGTGCTCAGATTTAGGTGCACGTGACAGAACACCAGCTGGTCGAAAATTCCGGAGGCCTCCCCTACATCATCTCTCAAAATCATATGGTGGTTTTGGGACGTGAAACCCCGCATATCAATCAATCAATCAATCAATCAATCAATCAATCAATCAATCAATCAATCACTCCTGCTATGTTTCTTTATCGTTTTCGGTTTTTTTCTCTGTATCTCCATCGCATCTACCTTCTTCCTATCTTTTTCGCTTTTCGCACCTGTTATTATGCACCAGCTGTGCATGAAGGTACGGCTTGGACGATTCTTGGGGCGCATACCTAGCCGAGGTGTTTTTACACCGCGTTACCAATAGGTTAAGTTACTGGTAGCGTCAGCAGCTCATAGTTTAGAGAACGACAAAAACACGAGTCGTTTCGTGATGTTGATAACTTTTCTATGCCAAATCATAATTACCCACAACTAAAACAGCAGCTCTGGTAAAGGAAACTTCACCCCATGTACTTCTCTGGGTACTTGAAATAAAAAGGAACATCTCCTTCAAAATATTTTTCTCTTTTTTAACGTTGGGGTTACTCTCCTGATATTAACATCTTCCTATATATCTAGTCTTAATTTTATTATTCTGCCTGAAAATTTTATAATTGTGTGGCTAGTGTTTGTTCTGCGTATTTTGTTCTGCAACAGTTAATTCTGATTGCATGTGCCTGTTTTTGTTTCCTCTTTGTTGCTCTGCAGACAACAGGTGCCTCACAAGTTCGCTTGTAATGCCGGCTGGCTACTGTTGGCAATCACACTGGCAGTACAATCCTTTTTATAAGCGATGTGTATCGACGTGCAATCCATTAGCCCCATTCAGTTCGAAAAGGGAATGTGACTACAGCTGTCGCACAAGTGAGTATTTGTTAACCACCCCTCTTACTCGAAGCATGTTGCTGCATAGTCTGTAGAGGATAGTAGTCACCTTACTGCAAATATTAGTGCGAACTTATTGAGACAAGTGTAATGAGACAAGAACCTAATGAGTAAACTTGAGCTATGTGCCGCAAGGTCCTCCATAGCCTGTAGCCTTGCCGCAATAATTAGCACTTTTTTGATGGGACAACCTGTGTAACTAGAGCTATGTCACGTGATGTTCTGTTTGTCTGTTGATGGTAGTAGTCACCCTACTGCAAAAATAAATGCTATTTTAATGAGAAAAGCTATGTGAGTGTAGCATTGTAACCTAAGTTTCTGCGTTATCTGTAGATGGTATAGTAATGATCTTACAGCAAAAGTTAGTGCTATTCTGATGGGACTAGCTGTGTAACGAAAGCAATGTTACGTTAGGTTCTGCTTAGTTTGTGGACGATAGTAGTTAACGTAGTGCAAAAATTAGCGCTGTTTTGCTGGGAGCTAAGTAGCGTATACCATCAATTATGATGCATGATTTCACGCTCATTGCAGTTTCTTATTTCGCACAGTTCATTATGAATATCGTGTACAGGATGTCTGAAAAACGTGGTTCAACCAAGCTGCTGTTAAACTGAGCGTCGTCTACGGATAAAAAGAAGTTTTTACCTGCCTGCATACCTGCATTCCGCGCCACCAAGGTTACCATTGCGTGTAATACATCGTAGGTCTCGCTGTATTCTAAAAGCCCTGCTTACCAAGTAGAGTCGCTTTCTTCACGACCAAACATGAAACGGTTGCTTCCAAATCGGCATCGACCAAAGTTCTGATGGCCAAATTTGCAACGTTTTATTACGTTTGCTGTGAAAAAAAAATGTCCTCACGGGGACGTGGTGGTAGTGGTAGCTGTGGCAGGTGGGCACATGGGTAGGAACTAAACTTTATCGAGGTCCTGAAGAAGTCAGTTCCAATTACCACTGAGAAATACCATGGCCGCTTCCACATTCAAACGGGAAGGCCAAGCTGCACCGCGGCGTCGTAGGCCTTCTGAACTGGCTGGAGTAGTTGAAACTATGCGTGCTCTTGAGAAATAAATAAAAAGAGTATTGCAGAGTCTCTTAGAGTCTCCTGACGAGTGTGGCCTTGTGAACAGGGGCTAATGGGGTTAATGTCCATGTGTCCGCAACAGCCGGGACACGAAAGGGAGACCTGTGTGAAACGACTATAGATTGAAAGGCCGGAATATGGCTTCGTTTGCACTAACCCAAGTGTCTTTTACGCTGTTCGTGTGAAAGTAAATATAGTGTTTGCGTATTGTTCAACAGAACGAACACCTTATAATGTATAGTCATTTGTTTATTTTTTTGATAATTTTACAACTATTCACTCGCTTGAATGGATACGTTTTTGTCTGGTCCCAATAAATCCATTTGTAACTTATCGTTTTCAATGTTACAGAATCAGTATGCAGAGCTCCTCGACCGATTTCCAAGTGCGAGTTCGGCACTTACCCCGTGTATTACTACGAGCCGAGGACAAGGACCTGCGTGCGTACTTCACAGTGCACGTACTACGGAAATAACTTCCCTACAATGCGTGACTGCCAAGAAACGTGCATGAAAGGTAAGGGGATCAAGAAGAGTTGAGCGTTGCCAAATACATCCGCCACATATGTTATCCTGAAAGTGTTCTTTTTTTTTGGCCCCATGAGTCCGTTGCTAAGGTAACTCTAGCAAGTACATTGTTAGACTCTCATGTAGACGATGCACCCAGACGCTACCACCGAGTTCATGTGCGACGTAAAAATAGTAAACCTTAATTGGTTACTGCTGGCTATACTTTATGACAAAAATTTCAAGCACGTGACCCACGTACGTTTTGCTGGTGGCCGGGCTCGTGGATGACTCAGTGTTACTAGGCCAAACTATGGCCTGGTGCGTGCCATTTAGTTTCGTAATAGTTTCATACAGAAGAATCTAGTGTGAGTACACGTGGGAGCTACTGTGCGTGGAGTTTCAGTCAGCATGGAAACTTAGTGTTCTACATTGCTTACTCAAAGCTTCCCTTTTTTCGGCTCCCTGTGGAGGCGCTTTGTCACGGAAGGATAATGATGATGATCATGAGCCTTTTGCTTTGCTGGCACTCACCCGCAAAGGGGGATCGGCCAAGAACCGGGTGGAAGGATCAATAAAATTCAGCGAAACTTCAGCAGTCTCACTTCATCTTTTTTAGCCTGTTAGCATGGCCAATCAAAGTCAGCTGACAAAGTTCGCAAAGAACCAGCTTTTTATCCTCAAAAATAGTAAAGCCAAAACACAATAGTAAAATATTTCACTATGTAGTTGGAAGGTTCAAGCATGAAGAAATAGAAAATTAGTGTATTACCTACGACTCTATTGTCGGCTTCTGAACCAGAGAACATAACAGTTGCGAAACTGCGTCCGCACACGCGGACATGCCCCTCCTGGATATGCGGGGCCTGCAGATTGTCGCGCCAGCTGGGAGAGGCGCAACAATTGAGAGCCACGGCACACACCATACGTAGGCTCTTCGCAAGATACTCAACGCCACAAGCAGTGCCGGCGCAGTCTTGAGTGTTCATTAATTTGCTTTTTGGTCAATAAATTGTGCCGCAGTCAGCATACACTCGAGATTTCGGTCGATAGAAAGTTCGGATTTCTATAGATGTGCCCTGGGCGGAGTTTTGCGATTCGTAAGACTGCAGAAGTTTGCGGCTGAGTGATCACAGTATCAAAATATATTGCAGTGAGTATTCCTGCAACTTCAATGGCATATACATTTCTCAAAGTTCAGATTCAAGGAGCCGTTAGAAGTATGCTGCTAAAGCCTCATCAATGCCATGAAATTTAAGAAACATGCCTATGAATTGGGCTACATGCTTGCTTTTACAACAACGGAGCTCTCGATTTGTAGCACTACCAGCAAAGAAACTCACCACAATCAGTGCAAAAGAGGGACACGAAAAGACAAGGAAGTGCATGGCACACAGAAAAAGAACAAAGAAATTACTCATCTTAACATGGAGTTATTCTTTTACACTTATTATGGATCCGCAGTGATAGAGAAAAGCAGTTATGCGCAGCAGCAGTGGTGTGGTTGTCACGGTAAAGAAAAGAGATGGCAGCCGGGAGCTGAAACTTTTTATTGGCTGAAATAGGTCCCAGGGAAAGGACACTAAAAGATCATTGTCGATGACAATAATCTGTTTTCAGTTTATTATATGCCGGTAGAAGAGTTTGCATTTATTCATTTAACATCGCAGATTCCACCACTACCTTTGATGGCCACGTTATTTCCTGCGTCAATTTGACTGTTCGCGTTGATGCACGAAATATTAATTGAATGTTCTAAAAAAGTCAGCAATATTCCCAGACCTTAGAGCACGCTTTGCGCAAGGCGGGGTTAGTGGTATAACAGGTGAGCTACACTAACAGTAACAACGAGTTTACTGGATCGCAATGAGCTAACCGTCTACCGTAGTACATATCACACATTTAATGCAAGCGGCGCCTCACGTGTGTAAGCCCCGTTTCTTCTTATTCCTACAGAAGAGCCATCCGGACCCGATGTTGACCCATGCAGCATGCTACCCAGCGAAGGTTATTACTGCAAGGGCCGTTTCGGCACCTTCCGGTTCTTGTACGACAACGACACAAGGACATGCAACCTGTTCTGGTACAGGGGTTGCGGAGGAACGCGAAACAACTTCGCCTCCTACTATACCTGCCTAAACAGTTGCGCTGGGAAGTACGTTCAAGAAAATAGCGAGAAGTTACTCGATGCAAAGTACTAGACAAGGTAAGCCGTCTGTGTTTTTAGCACTTTATTGTACGCAGGGTCAGTACAACTGAGGCTTTGTTAAAAGGACACCAAAGGGATAGATTGAATCAGTCTGATCGATAAATTACACGCTCAGAAATTTGATGACTTCGCTTTCACCCTAACGACTTTATCATTAGATGTCAAACAATCAGGGGGCCATTTTAAAATTCAGCATCGAAATCACTGAGCTTGTGCTTGCGGATTTCAAAGTATAATTATCATATTTGTTACAAAAGGAAGTCAATGAGCATTCTAAAAATAAAATAAAAGTTTATTTATTTGGACATTCATCAGTGACCTACTCTGTAATTAAGACCCCTACTTAATAAAACTGCATAGATTCAACCAGATGGTATTTTTGTTAAAATACGACGTTTACCGTACTTTATTGACTTTGCTGAACCAAACTTTTTGAAACTTGTTATCTTAGGTTTATGGCAGCCTGAAAAGTCGGTTCATTTCGTGTAAACTGGCTAGAAACCACGCACGCCCTAGTAGACGCTGTGAAAATCTATGACGTCATGCCGTTCAGTGCAGAAATTTTAAAGAGGCGCCACCTCCAGCTGTGCGTTTTCAGACTTCCGAAGCATGCCCTCCTAGCAAGCGCGGGTAATTTCAAATTTTAATATATTATTGTACTGCTCATAAGAAATATCGTACTTCTCTTTTCTTGACAAAAATAGTTTCATTTCAGTTTACCTTGCGTAGAATGGAAAGCCAAATGCTCCAGTGGCTTTGAAACACGCCAGCAAAAAATAACGTGCCCATGCAATTGGTTACCGCATGCTTTTATAAGCTTGTTTTGGCTGCTACTGTACCACAACTTCATGGCGTGGTGTGATCTTCGCGCAGGGGCGTTGGCAGACATTTTTCTTGAGCGTAGGGGGCGGGGGGGGGGGCAATATATATGGTCATTTCTCACACTTAGTGCTACGGTGAAAAATGTTTTTTTTTTTTGGGGGGGGGGGGAGAGAGGGAATGCCACCTCCTGGGTATACACCACTAGCTTCTTGCCAGATGTCCACGCTAATTGTCGCGGTACTTTCACAGAAACTACGCTCTGTAGTGACGTTTGCTGCGTACGAGTGGCTATTTTGTTTATTTTACTGTCGGACGTCATCGCGACTACTTATACTGGTGCGTGAGGTTGTGAAAATTTGTTCGGTAGCTTGAAGGTGCATTAGGGCCGATGTCAGTAGATGCATCGCACAAGAATTTACTTTGAAATTAACGCTAAAAAAACATGGTTTATCCCTTCGTCAGAGAGCTGGCGCAATGTCTATATGTGTTTGAGTGCTATAACACAGCTTAACGTGGGTGCATCTACGTTCACGCTTTTTCATACAACTCCATCCCGATGACTGACGTTCATTATTACTGATTACACAAACCATTTTGGTTGAAATGTTAACGGTGACAGTGAAACCAGATGAGCTATGTGACAGCGAGTGAGTAAACGCTCAACCTGGGCTAAGGCGGCCTACTCGCTCCTTGTTAGAAGTATTTGATATTAAGTAGATGACCACTGGCCTATATTTTCCTTAAGTTAGAACTTCTTATACACCTTTTCCAACTTTTCCAAGCAAAAGACAAATCATATTTAATTGCTCCTACTTGAGTAATAAAGACGAGAGTTCTTGGTCAGCGGCCTACTTGTATTTTTTTTGTGTGTGTCACGTTACCGTATTTTGATGCAGCTTTTTATCATCAAGATAAAAAAAAATTAGCCCAGCTTCCTACCCAATTGTTGACCTAAAGGGCACTTGAAAAGCTCCTTCCTATGCGTTAAACGCTGAGTGGGATAGTGTATTTTTAAAATATTGTAGAGGTGACCAGCCTTTGGTTATATTCGAATAAAACCACTCATTACAAAGGCCTTAAATATCTCAAAATGAACAAATCGGCAAGTTTCTATTTTCATGTCCAATTAGCAGTTGCACCCTTCACATAGTGCTAATCATTGGCACATTCGGTTTTCTTTTGGAGCTACGAAAAATTGGCTAGATGCTACATTTTATAACTCGAAATAATAACCACCTCCTTTCGGATGATTAGCACTCTAAGCGACGTAGTCAAGCCAGCTGTACATTAGTTTCATAAAATTGTTCTCATGATTGTATTTCTCACCTTATAATGTCGTGTATTCAAGTTATCATACCTTTTATATTTTTTGTTAGGGCAACAGATACAAAGACAAGATAAACATAAAACCAAATTTACATTCTAGGAATGCGTCGAGAACATATCATTTAGAGCAGTGCAACTGCATGAGAGATACTGGTGATGATATTTTTCGTGGCCTTACAAGCCCAAGGCTGCGTGGATCCACGGACAACAAGAAATAAAACATTCCTTAAAACTTACGAACTCCGCATCTTTGTTCAATCATTACTTTTTCACTTACCATTCCATCGCCTAAAAGCAATAAAAATTTCACAGTTCGCTTGGCCTAGTGCATTCTTATGTCGCATTCAGTGGAAAAAAGGTTTCTAATGTACTGATTTTTAAGTGCAGCAGCAATACAGTGTCATCATCTATTTCTTTAACGCTTGAGATTTCAATGTAAGTAATAAGTGTCCATACTACCGCTGTTGAAAATCTTCCAACATGAGTCCAATTCCATGTATAAGCGATTAGCAATAGGAATGGCAACAAAAGGTGTGAAAGAGAACACGGTAGGGAAAAAAAGGCTCTGCTAAAACAGAAAAGTAAGTTTGTTTATTCATTGATAATATTCAGAAACGAAGGAACATAAAGACAACACAAAACACGATGAACGAACAAGTAAAATTGAACATACATAAACTTGCACAATTAAAAGCTCTCTTTGTAGATTCAGTTGAGCCAATAGGAAAAAAAACTGAGCAATGCTTCCTTGAGTTCTGCAGTAAAATAGTGTTTAAAAATGGAGAGGAGATGCATGTACAAATCTCATGCTAAGCTCTAGTTCCCAGATGCACTCATAGATGGCTCAAGTACCTCTGTGGACAAACAAGCGTTATCCGAGCAGTAATAAGGGGAAGGGAGCCTCAAGTGTCATACGTCCTTTCGCATGCTTGCCTAGCCCGCCACCGCCATTAACGTAATCACACACACACACACACACACACACACGCACACACACACACACACACACACACACACACACACACACACACACACACACACACGCTCGCGCGCGAAATATTGAAACATAATGGGAAATCACCAGGAAAAAACACAGAAGCCTTAGCTCTACATTTTCTGCACGTTTCGCCCTGTATGAACTGGAGTAAGTTTTTCATGTTGTGCCTGGCGTGATTACACTCACTGTAATAACACCACAGTCGAGTCGCAAACGTGATCCTTTCACATGAACTTGCTGTGATGTTTCAAAACAAATTCACCAACTCATCATCATTGATTATTCTAGCGGTAGCGGGCAGCGAAGGATTTTTTCCGCTGTCTTTCATGGTAATCTGGAAAGGTGGTAATACTATTGATTACACAGTAAATGTTTGTCAAAATTTATACACTATTTTTGTATTTTGCACACGATTATTTATTTCCCCATATCCGATTTTCTCGTTGTGTCTCCTGGTGCGTGTGAAATTTTAGTCGTGCCCACAGCAACAGCTTTTCCTGATACAGGAACATTACGCAATGTTTTAGGAGTGTTCTCGCCGTAACTTATGACGCAAACCTGCAGGACATAATAAAATAGATGTTTAATAAATTATGTGCAAGGCAATCGCGTTAGTACGACTTGTAAAGCGTTTTAAACAGCGAAAGAACGAGCAGTCGTCACACAATGCGAATATCATAACTAGCGGTTCATCCGATGCTCCCACTCATTACAATGGCTTGTTTTTGTTAAGTTGATAACTGTGGCGCATACCCACTTCAAACATAATTCCTCATGATCGTCAGCCACTGCATCAACAGTTGGCACAACATTTCTCGCACTAATTTATCGGACACCACGCTTTCCAGAAGAATAACGAAGAGTAGCATAGCAAATGCAGGCCTATAGTACCCAAAACGTTTTATTATAATGCCGTAGTGCGCATCAAGCAAGTGTGCTTGCAGCAGTTGCCCAATGAGTGTTTAGAAAAAAGTTTTGAAAGGCGGCCCTTGTAGCTCTTGCTGTGACTGTGCTGCGCCTTCAGCGCAGGTCTGCTGTTTTTTTTTTTGCTTATTCTTTCTCATTGTTTCTTTTTGTGACTGTTTATCTGTATATCCCTTTCTTTTTCTAGTTATTTCTCTATCTTCGTACATTTGCCTGTGCTTTTTTGCTCGCTTTCCTTTTTTATATCCACATGATACCAAAATTTGTTTGTAGTGTAACGCCGATTCTTATCGACCCGTTCAAGTCAATATTGCAGCGATATATCCTGAAGGCTGTGAAACAGTAACTACGTGCCTTCACCTTTAAACGGGTTGTCTCCCTATGTGAGCAGTGTACGTAGAAGAAGGCGCTTGTACATTGCGACTGCTTCAAAGTTTCCTTTTACAAGAGAACTTTTGCACCATGGCACCTAGATTCCGTACTTAGTTCGAGATCGCACGAAATACGCCGGGCACCTCTAAAGAAAAGAAGTTGGGTAAAATTCATTTAAACCGTGCGACTGGATTACTAGGTGATCCAATTCGCTTACAGCCAACGTAAAAGTTTCTCACTTCGTTCACAAAACAAATGGCAGAGGTTTTGAACCACGAGTATGACAGCAAAACAAAATATAAATCCATTATTTGAGAAAGTCGCAATTCTTGTGAAATAAAACATCCGTTTATTAGCAGCATGAGGCCACCTCGTCAAAAGTCGGAAGCTTCACGTCATGTTGGCTGAACCAACCATTTTGTTATGATGGTGCGCAGTGTGATAAGTTGCCCTGACAGAACCTCAAGGTGGATTAGGTATTCCAAATAGTAATTCACAGTGGTCTTGTGGTTATGATGGAAGTTATGATGCCCCATGATTTTAGTCCTGTCATCAAACGATAAATTGACAATTGCGTCTATAACCCATCGCTATGTTTATAGGCCTTTCAGTACTAGGCCATAATTCATTGCCCACTGTGTTTTTACTTTTACGGTTTTTTAAACGGGGCGCTGGCCTTCGTCAAGCCGCTAGAAGCTTTTTTTCTAGCCCCCGTAGTTTCATCCGTGGTTTTCACCTTCCTGCTGTTGCTGAAATAAAGATATCGTTGTTATAATACTATTATTATTAACGTCGTGCGGTAAAATCAAGATCATGGTGGTCATATTTTCGATGGACGCAAAGATGTTTTTAGGCTGCACGCTGAAGAATCCTTGGAGGCTAATACTGCAGCGTTCATCATAATATCCCGGTTTTCTGACGTTAAACCCGGTAACAATGTTTGTCCTAAGAAACGAGACTTAAAATGTTCAAAACTTTTTACAAAAAGCCATGGGACTGCTTCCTTCCGAAAACTCACTTTTTTCTTGTAATTCTTCGTACTTGGATAGACAGCTTTGGTACAAAGCTTTGATTGATTGATTGATTGATTGATTGATTGATTGATTGATTGATTAATATGTGAGGTTTAACGTCCCAAAACCTGGTACAAAGCTTTAGCTCTGGTTAAGTGTGAGGAGGCTAGTTCGACATTATACCCTGCGACCGTATGAAAATAGGAGCAAAATGTGACAACATTCATCTATTCAAACTTATCTTCAAGGTAAATAACCTCAGATGGTGCTCTGAATGGTTCCTAAGGCCAAAATAAAACATGAAATAAACTTCAGCGTTGCATACAGTAATTTTAGCATATCAGCCTAGAAAATTTTTGATAATTCATTTTAAGCATAGATTATACCACAGGATATGCGCATGGCGCAACTTGAACACCATCTAATTCTCGCAAGACGTGTACTCTGGTGCATCCTTCAACATGGTGACAGTCTTGATATATATTCCCTCAACAGACTGTGATGTTGGACGAGCTGCTGCATATTCTGATAAAAAAATATTTGTGGCACAACTGATACAAGCAAGAAAAAAAGGGAAGACGGGATAGGGCGCCAGGCTTTCACATTTTTTATTAAAATATAATCCTTCCCTTACCAAATAGTAACCTCTTCTTTTACATTCGTTGCCATTTCACGTTATCTGAAAAAAAATGAGTGTACACTAGTGATAATGAGAGTGACCTATTTGCGTTTTTGTAGTGACCATCAGCCATTTTTTATTGAGACACATACTTGCCCTCAAGGCATAGTGTTTTGTGTGTATAGGTGTATCAGATGTGCACCGTGAAGTGGTGTCTTGTGCAATGCGTTCTCGTCACTTCCCATTAGACGCGAAACTTCAGCTTGCTATTGTTGACATTATTATTACATAAACCAACCATGATTGTCAAAATATCATTGTTCAACCAGGAACACGAATGTGTTCGTTTACTATAGTTTACGTGTACTCAACAGCTATCACCGCAGAGCAATCGTCACAAGGAACACAATCTCCTTGTAAAGCCAACTCTGAACAGGGTGTCTTTAGTTAATGATTAACAGGAAGGCACACTCTAAGTGAAAAAGACCTTGTCGAACGCATTTTCTACGCGCTGAACGTCGCGCATATATTTTTCAAGAGATAACAACCTACCTAGCAAATATTTCTCTTCATAACTTTTTTGGTGAAATACAACAGTCAATAATATACAGTACTCCCAAATAACAGTTTGAAAACTGCAATACAGGATACCTACTTGTCTTGCTGTCCATCATTTTGGGTGTGTACATCGCTTAATTGTCGAAGGCACTCGTCTCATTGAACTTATGGCGCCGGTGGTGCCCACAAATGTAATCTACAGAACGTGTCAGCTCAGAGAGTATAGGAGCAGTGGGGATCTTCCGCAGATACGTGTCAGCTCAGAAAGTATTGGATCATTACAGATCTTGCCGCAGATCCGCCGACCAACCATCTCTATTGCGAAAAATGCAGCCGATGAATTTACCACAATTTAGAAGTGCAAGATACAATATAAGTGTAAGGCATCTGTTGGTGAAACCTTCCTCATACGACCACACCTGGCTTGCGAATTAGCCGTTCCACAACGGACAGTTCAGGCGTATTTTCTGCACTGCAGTGGTTTAAATTTCAACCATTCGCACGTATCACGTTACGTTGGGAGCACCCTTGGTAACGCGACTGTGACACAATACAACAATCACAATTTGTTCTTTCGATGTAATGGTGTATTAGACATCAATTTTGTGTTTTTAAAGTGTGTGTATTAGCGTTCGAAGTGTTATTTGATCATCGAGTCACTGCAGATGATGGTGTCAGCATTCTGGTTGCTCTAGTGACTTGATATGGCCAACTCATTGCCGTGACCAAACAATGCGTACACATGACCTTGCAGAAAAAAATGTTAGGGTATATGATGGGCATATGGTAGTACGAAGGCTCAGTATAAGTGTGTTA